AAAATTGGACAGAACTGGAGAGGGAAGCTCAGGACAGAATTGGTTGGAGAAAACTGGTGTGCGGCCTATGCTCCATTGGGGGTAACAGGCGTAAGTAAGTAATTTGGTCTCGTGTGCTGTTACGGGTATGAGGGCGGTTATCACTTCGCGGCTGCCCACACCGTGGAAGGTTGTTTCTTGAGGGACCTGAAAAGGAAGATGGATTAGTGTTGGTCTTGTAGACCTGGGAGCGTGACCGCAGAGTCCAAGGGACAACTGCTCGAGGCCGGTCACTCACGGCCTTTTTATGAGAAGTTTTTAGAGTGTTAGCTCCGCTCTTGAAAGACCTTAGTGGGCACCCTTACCGCCGGAGACGGAAATCGTGAGGTAGGGTGAGGTGTGACATTTTTAGTGTCGACCTTTTCTAACCCTTCTTTCCTTGTGAGAAGGCAGCATCGCTGCAGATGCTGGTTGTCCGAGGGAAACACCTTACTGTTGTCACACCCATCTGCAGTCAGCAGTACGACTTCGCTCTCAGACCCTGGATAGTTGCTTTTAGTCTCATCGTTCTCCAATCGACCTGCGTGGCATGGTAGAACCTTGAGGAACATATGTTCCAGCCAGTATAGCTCGGTTGGGTCATCACGATAGGCGAGCCCGACCACCACCTCAAGGTAGCAGCTACGTTCGGGTCTCAGTCACTGGTTGTCCCAATTTATAAGAAAGGACAAAAGTCTTGTGACAGTCACAGGGGGAATCAGTCTAACTAATATATTTTCTAAATTGTTAGCCTCGATTATACTTAGACGTCTAACTAGAGCTCGTGAAGAGCAGACTCGAGAAAATCAGGCTGGTTTTCGAACTGGACGTGGTTGTATAGACCACACCTTCACACTACGACAGGTCCTGGAACACAGACACACATTTAGGCGTCCGACAATAGTCGTGTTCCTGGACCTTAAGGCGGCATTCGACTCAGTGGATCGTGAGGTTCTGTGGCAGTGTCTGTCATTGAAAGGTGTACCAAAGAAGTACATTAACCTCATACAAGCTCTCTACTCGAACACCACTGGTCGGGTGAGAGCATATGGCGAACTGTCATCCGAATTCTCTACATCAAGTGGTGTCCGTCAGGGATGTCCACTCTCTCCATTCTTGTTTAACTTTGTCGTAGACATCCACTTAGAGGTAACATTAAGCTCGTCAGATTTTTCATGGGTTGACCTTCTACCAGGAAAGTCGCTTACTGATCTAGAATATGCCGATGACATAGTTCTATTCGGTGAAGACGCTGACAAAATGCAGAGTCTTCTGACTATCCTAAGCAACAATGCAAGCATGTTCGGGATGCGGTTTTCCCCCTCGAAATGCAAAATGTTGCTTCAGGATTGGGTTGAATCGGCACCTGAACTAGTGATAGGGAGCGAAGTGGTCGAACGTGTAGACCACTTCACTTATCTTGGGAGTCTCATCAGTGCTGATGGCCTGGTGACTGACGAAATCTCAGCACGGATGCAGAAGGCTCGACTGGCTTTTGCCAACCTGCGTCACTTATGGCGTAGGCGAGATATCCGTTTGCTGACTAAAGGACGAGTGTACTGCGCAGTGGTTCGCTCGGTCTTACTTTATGGCTGTGAAACATTGCCAGTAAGAGTAGAAGATACTCGTCGGTTATTGGTTTTCGATCATAGGTGTCTTCGAAGCATTGCTCGTATATCGTGGGACAACCGAGTTAGCAACGCTGTTATTAGGAATCAGGTGCTAGGTAAGAATGGCAGATCAATCGATGAAGTGGTGAAACTTCATCAGTTGTGGTGGTTGGGACACGTGTTGCGTATGCCCAACCACCGACTGCCTCGTCGAGCTTTGTTTTGTAGTGTAGGACTGTGGTGGTGTTTTGTTCTCTGAGCTGGTTGTTTTGGTTGTGGAGCTTTCATTGTTCTTCTGAACAACATCATCAGCACGAACTTCAGATAGAAGTGAAGCATTAGAATTTCTCCACGTTTGGCCTGTAGTTTGTTCTGCTGACCTCGATCTTGATTGGTTGTTGTTGACATTTGACCTGTCGTTGTTTGCAACTATGTTTTGATTGCCTCCCTCTTTTGATCTGTTTCTTGATCTAGTGTCACCTATGATTTTCCTGATTGGTTGATAAATTGGGTCAATGTCGATGTGTTTGTTGATTGCTAATTGACCTGAGTGCCAAGCTTCTAAAAATTCTCTAGTGTTCTTTGTCCTCCCCCTACCTAGTATTTCCACGTTGTTCCAATCAAATGTGTGTCCATAATTGTCGGTGTGTATTGATATAAGCGAAGCCTTGTCGTGGCGTTTGACTGCTAATTGATGTTCACGTAAACGGAGCTGAAGAGGTCGTCCACTTTGTCCTATGTAGTGTTTTTCACAATTTGAGCAATTTATTTTGTAGATGATATTTGGTTTTTCTTCCTTTGTCATTTTGTCCTTTGGTCTACATAGGATTGACTGAAGTGATTCCGTTGGTTTGTGTGCCACACCTATTCCAAATGGTTTCAGTAGTCGTGCCGTATGCTCTGATATGTCTTTGATGTATGGTAGGATGATGCGTTTATTTGTTCCTGTGCTTGATTTCACTCCTGATGATAGTTTTGGTTGATGTTTTTTGATGAAGTTGCGTGGATAGCCGTTCTTTTGGAAGATAGTCCTCAGATGTTTTTCCTCGTTTTTTAATGTTTCGTATGTGTTGCAGTGTGTCTTCGCTCTCTTGAACAGAGTTTGTATGCAGTTGATTTTGTGGGTTCTTGGGTTGTTGCTGTCGTAGTTGAGAATTACGTCGGTGTGGGTTGGCTTCCGAAATACTTGAGTTTCTAGTTTTCCTGTGTTAGTTCTGGTGATTAGTACATCCAGGAATGATAGGCTGTTGTTTGATTCCTTTTCCATCGTGAATTTGATGTCCTCAAAGACGTTGTTGATCTGATTGTAGATGTTCTCCAGCTCATTCCTTTTGATAATAACGAATGTGTCGTCTACATAGCGAACCCACATTTTTGGCTTGATCACTGGCAGAATCGACGCTTCCAGTCTCTGCATTACCGCTTCGGCGATGAGTCCTGATATTGGTGATCCCATTGGTGTTCCTTTTATTTGTTCGTAGACTCTGTTGTTGAACTGACGATATGTTGTTAAGCATAGGTCGATGAGTTCAAGCAAACTTTGACTCTGAAGTTTTGTATATTTGTGTAGATTTGTGTCGTTGGTGAGGAGCAGAGAAAGAGTTTCTTTGGCTAAGCTTGGTTCTATTGAGGTAAATAAGGCTGTTACGTCGAAGGATATCATCATTTCGTCGTTGTCAATTTGAATCCTCTTGAGTTTATCCAAGAATTCTGTGGCCGACTTAATGGAGTAGTTGGATTCATCCACCAGATGTTTTAATATCCTTGAGATCTCTCTTGATAAGTTGTAGGTCGGGGTTCCGGGGAGGGATACAATAGGACGTAGTGGGATGTTAGGTTTGTGGAGTTTTGGCCTACCGTAGAATCGTGGAATTGTTGGTCCATTGGATTTCATTCTCCATTGATCTTGTTTTGATATTTGTCCTGTTTTGACAAGCCTATTTAGAGTCCTTGAGATTTGATTGTCCAACTTTTTTATGGGGTTTGTGTCGACTGGTTTATATACGCTTTTGTCCTGAAGTAGCTCCTCGGCTTTCTTGACATATTCCTCCTTGTCCATGATTACTGTTGTGCGTCCTTTGTCCGCTGGAACTATGACTATATCTTCCCTGGTTTTGAGTTTCTTCAGAGCTTTTCGTTGTTGTGCTGTTAGTTGGTTGTTGTCTCTCTTCCGTCGAGTTAGTGGTACTATGGTTTGTCTTATTTCTTGTTGAGTTTCTTCACTTATTCCTGCCGTTTTGAGCGATGACTCTAATGCCGCGAAGAATTCCAGTTTTGAAGCATCCTTCGTGTTGTAGTTTAATCCTTTTTGGAGCAGTTGTACTTCTGTTGTCGTTAGATGTTGCTTCGATAGGTTGACCACACAACTGTTTGCGTTTTCTTCTGTGGCTGGCTTTGAAATCTTGATTAGTTTGTCTTTGAGGATGTTTCTTCTTTGTTCTCTGTGTCGTCTGCTTGACAGTGTAGGACTAGGTTGGAAGAAAGTTAGGGGCGGCCAGAGCAAAACATGGCATAAATCCATGAAGTCATTGACGAGTGGACTTAGCCATGTCGGTAATTGTCGACTTCCTGGTTGGGGTCGGCGAGACGAAAGTCATTAATGGTTAGAACTTCATCATTTGAGGTGGTTGGGACATGTGTTTCGTATGCCTAACCACCGACTACGTCGACGATCTTTGTTTTGTAGTGTAGGAATAAGTTGGAAGGAAGTTAGGGGCAGAAATCCATGAAGTCATTGTCGAGTGGACTTAGCCATGTCGGTTGTTGTCGACTACCTGGTTGGGGTCCGCGAGATGATAATAATCGATGGTTAGAGACCCTGAACGACATGGCTCAAAACCGGTTGCAATGTCGCCGGTGCATTTATTCTTTGTGTTCTCTCAAATCCTAATCTTCTGGATTCGTCAACACCTCTAGTTTTGACTTTCTAAACTTTTCTCATTGAGTCATACTTCTTGAATAATATGTTCTAATTCTAACCTCTCCGATTACTTCTAATACCTTTACTACCTCTACTACTATTGGATTTGAATTGACAATTATATCTCTGTGCTGATAAGGTGTGGCAACATGAACTGAGGTACTTACGTACGAAGTCCTGCGTTGCATCTGACTGACTCTTCTGACCGTTTGCTTAAAATAAAAATAGTTGAATGTTCTGATCGATCAGTTATAATATCAGCTATGATTCAAAGCTAAGTGCACAAGCTTATTATCAATAAATGAGTGAAAACAAATTATGTAACTAACTATTTTTTGTAATACTCAGCATTTTTCTATAAGGACCTTACTGTTTTACCATCCAGTGAGATACACGCTGTAGCCTACTGTTTATGTAAACATTATAATTTATTATTCGATATATATGATTAGGATCGTGGCTTTTCGGAAGTATTTACAATCTAATTTTAAATGGATGCAGTTTCAAAAATGGACATGTTATCCGAAAGCGACTTCAATTTATCCGAATCACTCAAATCTTACCCAACGTTTGCTTCCATGAGGTTAAAAGATAACCTTTTAAAAGGGATTTATGCCTACGGTTTGTCGCATTACTTCTTTTAATTTCTCTGTAGGATTTGAAAAGCCTTCTCTCATTCAACAGAAAACTATCAAACAAATAACTGAAGGGAGGGATGTAATCGCACAGTAAGTCCAACATATTTGTGATCTGTAGAACAGTAGTTACTTTTTTGAATTTCAGAGCTCAAAGTGGGACTGGGAAGACTGCAACATTTAGCATAGGAACTTTGCAAAACATTCTTCCTGAGATCTGTCAAATTCAAGTGCTAGTTTTAGCACCGACACGCGAATTGGCCATTCAGATACATCATGTAGGTTTCAGCTATATGTATTCCATTACTTCCATACATGATAAAACAAAATATAGTGATTTAAACGAGGCATATGTTGAAACCACCATCTGTCTTAATATCTCAACAAAAAGTGTTATCCACAGTAGAAATAAGCAATTCTAGATTTGCTACAATCTTTAACCCACATACCTGAGTGTTTTGTGCCGCTAATTCGAAAGCTTATTCGGTTCTGTATATATATTAATCAACATTGGTTTTTTAATAAAGATCTCTGGCTACATCAAACTTCTTTCTGTGTCAATAGCTAATTTATCAAAAGTCTCACTATTGGATGACATCGGTGATAAAAAAGGGATGATTGTTATAATCACACAGTCCTACGTAAACCTGGCACTTAAGTTTAATGAAGAAAACATAACTGTATTTTCACATCCTAATCAGAACTTATTTATCCATACATAACTTTAGACTACATTTTAATGATACTTGTCAAATGTCTTAACAGCGTATCATTGCAACTAGTTGAAAGTAACTAGCTTTGCAACAATGATTCCCAATATAACGCTGTTCATTATCATATTGAAAACTGGTTGATTCATATTTTAAATTACTCCATACCACAAAATATTATGGGGGTTTTAATATATCAGTTAGCTTGTCATAAATTATCTTATTTGTGTCAAACGTTTCCAAGGATATGTGTGCATAAACCAGAATAATTGTTATCGATAAAACTAGACTGTCTCCTCACCGTAGTTCAACACTGTCTTCCATACCCTGTAACCACCACACAATTTTTATGGTGTTATTAGTATGATTAGCACTAACGTCGATGTAAATATCATTATCAACACAGTATCCGTATCTCATTTTTTATGTTGAAAATTAACCAAGTCCAGCGACATTTCCCTTCAATTGTAGCTTAAACCAAGTTGTCATTTGTCAATCCTACTTACGTTGAGCATAATGGATCCAGCTGAGATGATATGATGTGATCAAGGGAGGAAATGCCCTAATTTATTTTGAGGTGGTTGGCTTACTAGATGCTGACCAGCTACTTGTGTACTCCACTCAAGTGCATCAACAAGCCAACTTTATACATAATTGTCCCTTGTCAAGCGATAATTTAAGAATCCCATTAGTTATATTGTGGTTGTAGATTTACAGTTAAGAATGATGAATTCTATTTGTTCTGATGGGCGGCGTTCCAGATCTAGTGCTGATGTATAACGTGTTGCACTCTAAACCCTCTAACTGACTGCTGAATAAGAAGACTGCAGTCAAAGGAGAAAGTAAACGAAGCCACCGAATACATACATAAATACTCACTTATATATACAGATTTCCACCCCTTAGAAAACCAGTTCGTTTCTTAGACAATCGTATGAACCTGTCCTTTATGACATTTCCGATAGTCACCAAATGACCTAATTTGGCTACTTCTGATTGGCTCAGTGTATCACAATTCTCTTGCTAGTACGTATATTAAGTTAACTGTAGAAAGAGTAAAACGAGTATTTACCTAAAAAGTAGAACATAACTGAAACTATTACAACGAATTTCGATTAGTATAAATATTTACCTTTACTATTTAATATCTTGTGAAATTAGTTTATCTTACTGATATAAATCGCTTGACTTACAACCACCTGGTCACAGGTTTGAACTTTAGACAAATAGGTAGTAGTATATGACGCGAGTAAAAACGTAATGTCTGGCAGCAGAAGATGGGGGAAGATCAAGAAAGGAAGAGCGGGAACACAATGGGATTTGTATGAAACGCATGAACAGTGAAATGTCAGACTATGGATTGATGTTTGCAACAGGAACAGTCCAGTTCGATATGATGGATTGATATCTTGCAAATAAACGATTTACGATATGGTTTTCCTATTTTACCAATTAACTCTGTAATTTGAGATAAATACAATTCGGTTGCCCTCACCTGTGTTCTCCGTCACTACAGTATCACTAACTCTCACACATAAAATGTGGCTCACAGCTGAGTACATAATTTTACACTTAGTAAGGGAAGTACATTAGTGAGTCTATCAAGCCTTTATACCGAAGTAAATGCTACACATGAAGTTGTAAGCTTATAATAATCCAAGGATATCCTTTCAGCCCGTTACTGCTTTATTCAACCAATAATCAGTAAGCTGTTGCATGCATATTTGAATGATTGAGTCTGTTTCCAGCTAATAAGAGTAAATCATATTTCCATTGTTCTTCCAATTGTAACGTATTTATTATCATTTATAATTTAGGTCATGTCATCATTGTCTGATCACTTATCTATCAGATGTGTTGCTTGTTGCGGTGGGCGAAACAATACTATGCAAATGGCTCGCGAACTTGATAAGGGAGCCCATGTTGTTGTTGGTACCCCAGGTCGAGTGTTAGGTAAATATTTTTTAAGATGTTCTTGAAATCTATTGACATAACTGGATTTTCTTTATCTTTGCTTTCGTAACATGACAAGTAGATTATTTAAAATAATGAAGATCCATTTTCCAATAATATGTAACTTCAATTTTTCCTTAAGCACAACCATAATCGTTCTAGCGTCTATATTAATGCATCATATTGCTTTGTAGTGTGCCGATAACTGCGTGTTCTTAAGCTCGGTTTATAAATCAGAAGATGAACTCGTATTGATGAATACGTTTATTCGAGGCACACCACAAAGCGAAGCGGAGAAGGCTAAGAGCCAACTCAAAGAGATAGAACATGACTAAGAATATATAGTCAGATAAAAATAGGACAGACATATGACAAGCGAAATAGGCATGCACACACATGAATAAAAGCGACGAATGATTGACAACGTCAAAAGCAAGCGATACAAATCATGTGAGTTGATGGGGAAATTAAGAGATTAACATTAAAGCGAAAAGGATGAGTAAGCGCGTAGGCGTAAGCAATGCTCAGTCGTATAAACTCATACAAAGCAGATAATAAAAAATAACAATGGTACATATGAGTTGTTGCTATACAAATGGCTTGGTTAAATAAATTAATCGAAAGGGCTTAACCAAATTAAATGTAAGCGGATGCAAATAAATGTGGAGGCACTACAGCTTATCTTAAAAAAAGTAATGAAATAACCATTTAAGTTCGACATTGTTTTTTTGCAATAGATGTCACTTTCAATAGATTCTCACAAAATTATACTTGACAAACTTAAATGAGTTCACGAAATTGAAATCGTAGATCGATGATTGTTATCAGATCACCATTAGAAACCTGGAAGCAATAGATGGCCATTTCGTTCTAGTATTGGACTCATCAGCATTGCTTATCCACCATTCCCTCACAGGAATCGAATCCAGGTCCTTCGGTCTCGCGTTATCATACTTTTCACGTAAAAAGCTTCGATCAGTTACTATGTAAATAATCAATCAACCACAAAAATGGAATAAAATCAATTAATTGACAAACCATTAACGTTTTATTTCCTTACCGAACGTAACTCTTTTTTCAAGTATACTTGTTTCTATACTTGTCTTTATGGTCTAATGATACTACTACTTAACTATCCAAACCCAAAGTAAACGGAACTGGGTTCGGAACTACGACGTATTGACTCAAGCTAAGTACTTTAACCTATAACTTGACTCTTACACTTGTAGAGTATTTTCTGAAGAACATATGCGGCTTATTATCAAATAAATAAAATAACACAGAATTAGTAATCTCTACAAGCTTTATATACTGATTAAGGTACAAATTATTCATCCGTCCTATATCACACTAAAATATTGATTGTTCCTAAAGCCACGAGAGTTGGTGCCTCCTCAAAATAAATATCAATTTAAACGTGTTTGTGAATATTTGGTAAGCTAATAGCTATTAAACTGCGCATAACAATATATTCTTCTTCGACTGATCATCATCATAATTCGGTAACTCTTATTGCCCAATTCTATTCATTTTGGCTTTTTTCTAGAGCTTCTTCGACAAGGCAACTTACGTTTGGGCAAACTACGTTCCCTAGTTTTAGATGAAGCTGATGAAATGTTAAATAGAGGATTACGTGATCAATTAGAAGAAATATATCGCCGCCTTCCATCTCACATTAATTCAGACAATAGGAAGTCCCTTAATTGTCAAACTGTCATTATCTCAGCTACAATGCCTAAAGAACATTTGGAATTGTTTCAGAATTTCACATCTAACCCTGTTCGTGTTCTTGTACCAAGGTAGGTTCTATGCTTGTTATTATTATGAGTTATGATACTTTCGTATGATAGTCTCGCATTTCATTCCTGGGCGTGCGTGCGCGTATTTTTTTGCGTCTTACCGGACGTAAGAAAAATATCGCTAGGAAACCTCTTAGGGCTCTAATTAATGCTAATAAAGCTAAGAATGTATTTCAGGAAAAACTGGAAAAACAACGAGGGCAGCCATGTAGTAAGTGATGCCTACCCTGAGGCAGCTTGGATTGATATGAAAAAAGCTGTGGAAACAGCAGTGGTATCTGCTAGTAAGGTAAACCATAATGTTAGGGAAAAGCCATGGATTTTAGTATTATCTACGGAACTGATGTATGCTCGAAAGCTCATCCCGCCTAGCCCGGAGTGCGATGAGAAGAGTAGTCAGCTTAAGCGCAGACTTATAAAAAGCCTACGCAACGATTGTTAACAGTGGCGGGTAGCGAAAGAAAGGGAGATGGAGAAGGTAACGGCGATAGGCAACAGTAGACAGATGTTCCGATATTAGTATTAGTAATCCGACTGTAAGTGGGACTATCTCAGAAAAAGATGCTCCTATTATTCATTTTCAATCCAGGAGATTGGATCGATGGGCAGAACACTTTAGGGATCAGTACAACTGGCCTCCATCCACACTTCAGTTATCGACGATCTCCAATCATCCTGAATGGCATTTGACGTAAGCCCTACGAACCTTTATAAAGTTAAAAAGGCTATAGGAAATCTAAAGCGAGAGAGAGCAGCAGGTCCTGATAGATTGACTCTTGAGATTTTTAAGGATGGTAGTCCAGTTTTAGCAGCTAGATTGACTGAAATCTTAGGTAGAATCTGGGAACTAGACGTAATCCCATCCGACTGGTCTCAATCACTGATTGACCCAATCTACAAGAAAGGACAAAAGTCTTGTGACAGTCACAGGGGGAATCAGTCTAACTAATATATTTTCTAAATTGTTAGCCTCGATTATACTTAGACGTCTAACTAGAGCTCGTGAAGAGCAGACTCGAGAAAATCAGGCTGGTTTTCGAACTGGACGTGGTTGTATAGACCACATCTTCACACTACGACAGGTCCTGGAACACAGACACACATTTAGGCGTCCGACAATAGTCGTTTTCCTGGACCTAAAAGCGGCATTTGACTCAGTGGATCGTGAGGTTCTGTGGCAGTGTCTGTCATTGAAAGGTGTACCAAAGAAGTACATTAACCTCATACAAGCTCTCTACTCGAACACCACTGGTCGGGTGAGAGCATATGGCGAACTGTCATCCGAATTCTCTACATCAAGTGGTGTCCGTCAGGGATGTCCACTCTCTCCATTCTTGTTTAACTTTGTCGTAGACATCCACTTAGAGGTAACATTAAGCTTGTCAGATTTTTCATGGGTTGACCTTCTACCAGGAAAGTCGCTTACTGATCTAGAATATGCCGATGACATAGTTCTATTCGATGAAGACGCTGACAAAATGCAGAGTTTTCTGACTACCATAAGCAACAATGCAAGCATGTTCGGGATGCGGTTTTCCCCCTCGAAATGCAAAATGTTTCTTCAAGACTGAGTTGCATCGGCACCTGAACTCGTGATAGGGAGTGAAGTAGTCGAGCGTGTTGACCACTTCACTTATCTGGGGAGTCTCAGTGGATCTTCTAGATAACAATACATTTGACTGAAAATAAAATCATCTTAATTGGATAATGTATGGTGTTGAGTTGTATTTTATGTGGTCTTAAGACTCAGTAATTCTATCCATAAAAATTTCGAATTCCAAACTAATAGTCGAAATAATTATATCGATATCTAGAGATTAAAAGATTAAATCATGATATCATTAAAACTCAAACTAATTGGTTTATGCAATTAATTTAATTGTAATTCAGATCGTTTCATTCACCTACTTATGAAATATGACTGTAATAACGAAGATAACTGTTAATTACACTCTGATACTAGTGTAGTGAATGCTACTCACAAGATTGAGTATAACGGATTTTTGCCTGGAAGTTGTTACAGTCGACATCCGAAGACAAAAGTTTCAGGAGGTCAAAAACACTTTGGAGACCAGAAGTGGAGCAAGAAAAAAGCGGTCTATGTCCAACTTGAATTACAAGAACACATAGCAGATGGCGCCAGCATGGATGCTTGATGTTTAAGTATACATACTTCATGAATAATCTGTATTGACTTGTTCTATATAACTATACTGTAGCTCTTTTCTCGCATAATGCAGTCCAATCTGTCAAGGAAAGTATATTAGACTGAGGTCAACAAAGATTAAAGTTGCTAATCGCTAGTTAGTGAAATTGTCACACAGAATTAATACAGTTAAATATTATGATGTGAAAACTTTAATTTAACAAAAATTCCATTAAATCATTACATGGAGAACACACTTGATTGCTTCCAAACTATTATATTTAACATACCAGAGGATTTCACTTGTTAAATGTTCACTATACTAAATGACAGTTTCAGTACCTGTTGAATTATTTCATTAACTTGCCTCTAATTATATCTGTAGAGATGAACTTAGTCTTACTGGCCTTCAACAATTCTACATTGATGTCGGATCAGAGGAATGGAAATTTGAAACGTTAAATGATTTATTTTCAAGTGTTTGTGTTTCACAAACCGTTGTTTTTGTTAATACTCGACGAAAAGTTGAATGGCTTGCAAGTCAGTTGAAACGAGAAGGTTTCACAGTGGCCGCTGCTCATGGTGATCTTGATCAAGACCAACGAGAGTCCGTTATGAAACAATTTCGCTCTGGTGAATGGTAATCTAGTTTCTTTAATAATTTATTCATAAAGAAAAAAGCCATTTAGCTTGTTAGCTTTGGTTCTTGAATTTCAGTCCTACTGAATTTATTATGTTTTGAGTAATTTGCCAGTGTCTTTACTCAGTAGTTGTAGCTCATAAATTAGTATACGTGATTATTAATACTAATATTCTTTTGATATCGTTAATAGTTCCGAATCAATTTTTAAAACTTTGTCTTTGAAATATATTTTATTTTACAAAATGTATAAATATATTAATATTCCTCATTTCTGAGAAGAATGAAACGGTGGGATTAGTTTTGACAGAAACCACAAATTGACTAACCGGTTCACCGTTCCCACTGTCCACGATACTAACAAATTAAATGCTTTCTAGGTTACTGAAATTATGTTACATATTAACCGACACTTTTCGTGTCGGTGAATTAAATATTTAAGATATTTTCAAAATTTCTGTAAAAACCAATCTTTTTTCATGATCTCACTGAGTGAATCGTTCATACTGACGAATTATATTCTATCCATCATATTGTTATTTTGACATGGATGTTGTTATTTTATAGTTTACATCACTACCTGATGTTAGTCAGACAAATTTTTTAAATCAATAAACACTGGATAGTTATTTTGTCCTAGTATAGAACTCCTCAGCAGTGTACACTTATACTCCATAAGGAAGATTTTTAGGTCTCTAGGAAAACGCATATCTTTAGAACACTGAATCGCTCACTTGGGGACTTCAAACAGCTGAATTTGATCTTCGGTTGTTGGTGCACATTTCTGAAGAGGCCTATGCCAGGACAAAACGACTGTCTAATGTCTCCTGATTTCTTGTGGTTGTGTTATTAGAGTTATTCCATGCTGTAAACTATGAAACTGGGCCAAACCTTTACACGGATAGAAGCTATGAGTTGTTAATCGCAAAAATTTTGTTAAAAATTAGTAACTAAACTGCTTCTGTCGGATTAAGTTCAAGCTGTGCTTTAACGGCTACCTTAAGCTTAAACAACTATTTTCTCTCTTTAGATTTTGCTAAATTAAATTATGGCCCATAGTTGAATAAATGATTTTGTGCTTGGTAAATTAAGTACATTAATCGATCTGTTAACTGGATATCAAAGTAAACAATTGCTACTTTCTTGCTCATCCAATAGTCAGCAAACTGTTGCATTCGTCTCCTTTAAGTTATTATTCACACTACTAACAAATAATTTTCAATTTTTGTATATCATATAATCTTATTATCTTTTGTCTATATTTCTTTTATATTTCAGTCGTATTTTAATCAGTAGTGATATGTGGGCTAGAGGTATTGATGTTCAAACAGTAGGATTAGTAGTGAATTTTGATTTGCCAATGAATACCAGTGAATACCTACATCGTATTGGTCGTTCTGGGCGTTTTGGACGTACTGGTTTAGCTGTTAGTTTTATTACTAATAATGATGAACGTAAACAACTTTTAGAAATTTGTAATTATTATCAAATCGCTATTCCACCAGCACCAGCTCGTTTAGATAAAATGTTAATCATCAATAATTCTATGCACAATTCATCTGAAATAGTCAGTCCACCATCTAAATCTGATACAAGCAACGATCAACCTATAAAAAATCATCTTCATCAACTTGTTAAACATACAAAACGTAAGAAAAAACAACGCAAGAAGAAAAAAACCTTGAAGATTTTAAAATAAAACAAACTATGTACATCTGTAAATTAGTGCATATATTTTTTTGTGTTGTGAATACTAAAATTGTTCAATGTAATCTGTAATTGCTTTAATAAAGATTTTCAATAATAGTCTAATTGTCATCTTTCCTAGTACAAATAATAATGAACAGTATCTGTACATTTCAAATAATCAAATGAAAATACTGTAACCTTATTTGCAAATACGTTTGGCATTATTACATCCTAATAAAAACGTTATCAGAGCAATTTTTTCATGTCTTTTAGTATTTTCATTCATATACTTTAATTCTGCTTATATAAATTCAAAAGAAAATCTTCCTATCGATTATAAACGTTGTTCTATTTAACATCGCCCCTATATCATCGTTTTTTTCTACTACAGTTTTATTAATTACCCGAGATCAATCAATTTCATAATTGTCATGTCCTAAGATTTACTGTTTTCTTAGCATCATTCAATGCCGTGTTTAAGATGGGTGAGTAGCATGCATAGTAAACCTTGTATCTTAATTAATCATAATACATTCACTTATAAATCCTACATCTAATCCACTAATAACTGATATAGTGTTGACATTATATGAAAGTAAAATTTCTTAACTATTTTAAAGGCCCGCGATCCGACTCTAGTTTGGTTAAACGATAAAGTATTTCGATGGAGTATAGGCCTCTTACCAGCATTCTCCAACCTACTCTGTCTTCCGCCTTCCTTCCTAGTTCTATCCATTTATATTGAAAATTCTGACTTTGGTGTTGGTCGATGATTGTTTTGAGTTCCATATGTTGGTCAATTGTAGAAATGCTGCCCATGCTTTGCCAATCCGCACCTTCACATCTGCATCATCCTCGTCTGAATTTTCTGGAGTAGACCTTTTACCAGGTGGCTCGCTTATTGATTTAGAATATGCCGATGACATTGTCCTACTTGGTGAAGACGCTGACAAAATGCAGAGTCTTCTGACTACCCTAAGCAACAATGCAAGCATGTTCGGGATGCGGTTTTCCCCCTCGAAATGCAAAATGTTGCTTCAAGATTGGGTTTCATCGGCACCTGAACTAGTGATAGGGAGTGAAGTGGTCGAACGTGTAGAGCGCTTCACTTATCTTGGGAGTCTCATCAGTGCCGATGGCCTGGTGACTGACGAAATCTCAGCTCGGATACAGAAGGCTCGATTGGCTTTTGCCAACCTGCGTCACTTATGGCGTAGGCGAGATATCCGTTTGCTGACTAAAGGACGAGTGTACTGCGCAGTGGTTCGCTCCGTCTTACTTTATGGCTGTGAAACATGGCCAATGAGAGTAGAAGATACTCGTCGGTTATTGGTTTTCGATCATAGGTGTCTTCGAAGCATTGCTCGTATATCGTGGGACACCCGAGTGAGCAATGCTGTTATTAGGAAACGGGTACTAGGTAAGAATGGCAGATCAATCGATGAAGTGGTGAAACTTCATCAGTTGAGGTGGTTGGGACACGTGTTGCGTATGCCTAACCAGCGACTCCCTCGTCGAGCTTTGTTTTGTAGTGTAGGAATAGGTTGGAAGAAAGCTAGGGGCGGCCAGACCAAAACATGGCATAAATCCATGAAGTCACTGACGAGTGGACTTAGCCATGTCGGTTGTTGTCGACTACCTGGTTGGGGTCCGCGAGATGATAATAATCGATGGCTAGAGACCTTGAATGACATGGCTCAAAATCGTTCGCAATGGCGCCAGTGCATTTATTCTTTGTGTTCTCTCAAATCCTAATCTTCTGGATTCTTCAACACCTCTAGTTTTTACTTTCTAAACTTATCTCATTGAATCATACTTCGTGAATAATATCTTCTAATCCTAACCTCTCCGATTACTTCTAATACCTTAACTACCTCTTCTACTATTGGATTTGAATTGACAATTATATCTCTGTGCTGATGTGGTATGGCAACATGAACTGATGTACTTACGTACGAAGTTCTACGTTGCAACTGACTGACTGACTGACTGACATCTGCATCAGATCCACCTTGCTCATCAGTGAAGCTTCTCAGATATGTAAAGGATATTACGTCCTCCAAGGCATCTCCATCAAGTGTGATTTGTTGGCGCATGTTGTGTTGTGTCGGAGAATCTTGCTTTGCCTTTATGTATATTGAGACCAGTTGCTGTTACTGTGGTCGACTTCTCTTGCATTTGCTGTTGCGTGTGCGATAGAAGAGCCAAGTCATCTGCGAAGTCCAGATCGTCCAGCTGCGTCCTAACTGTCCAGTTGATACCGTGCTTCCCTCCAGATGTTGACGTTTTCATAATCCAGTCGATGACCAGGAGAAAGAGAAAGGGTGAGAGTAAGCAACCTTGCCTAACACCGGTCTTCACCTCGAAAGAGTCTGTTAGCTGTCCTCCGTGCATGATTTTGCAGTTTAATCCATCATAAGAATTGCGTATGATGTTAACCATCTTCTCAGGCATGCCGAAGAAGCCTCCATAGTGTTGTCCTGTCCACGCTATCAAATGCTTTCTCGTTTTCAATGAAGTTGATGTAGAATGGTGCGTTCCATTTAACTGATTGTTCCACACTGATCTGTAATGTTGCAATTTGGTCGATACACGATCTATACTTACGGAATCCAGCCTGTTGATCTGGAAGTTGGGCGTCAACGAAGTCCTTCATTCTATTTAACAATAGCCTATAGAAGACTTTGCCTGGTACTGACAGAAAAGGGATGCCTCTTTACTCCTCACACTTGTTGAGATCTCCTTTCTGTGGTATCTTGATGCGGTATCCTTCTTTTCAGTATGTTGGTATTTGTTCTTCCCTCCAAATCTTACTAAATGAGAATGTGGAGTATCTTCGCAGTTACTTCCACATCTACTTTCATTGCCTCTGCTGGAATGTTGTCTGGTCCCACTGCTTTGCCGCTGTTGATTTGTCTGATGGCTATACTAATCTCCAGTTGTTTGTGGGTCAACATTGATTGTGAGATCCGTAGGCTCTGCTTCGATCTTGGGTGGGTTCAGCGGGGCTGGTCGATTCGAGAGTTCTTCAAAGTGCTCTACCCACCTGTTTCTCTGTTCTTCAATGGCGGTTATTACTTCCCTATCTTTGTTTCCACTGGTCGTTCTGGTTTACGATAATTTTAAGGGAGCTTCTTTGTTGTATCGTACAATTGTCTCACGTTTCCTTTTCTTGCAGCCTTTTCCGCCGTCATTGCTAGATCTTCCACATATTTGTATTTGTCGGCTTTGATGCTCCACTTCACTTGCTTGTTTGCTTCTGTGTAAATAGCTTGTGCCCTGACTTTCTCTGTTCTTGTTTGGCTGATGTTGATTGCTGCCTTCTTGTTCCTCCTTACTTTAATTTTATCCAATGTATTAACAGTGATGCATTCCTTTTGATGGTGCTTCTTGTGCCCCAGGACCTCATCACACGCGGAAGTGATTGCCTCCTTGATCCTTTTCCAGTTGTTCTCCACGGTAATAAGAAGCCAAATACTGTTTTGTAGATAAGTTTATTCCATGCATTTGTTTAAGCAGAGAGACAAGAATGAAAAGCGTACAAGCAAAGCGAAAGCGAGCGAGCCAACTCCATGCGATAAGGGATGACTAAGTATTTATAGTCTGACAAAATAAGCTGGACATGTAATAAGTGATGCACACACTCGAATAAAAACAACCAAGTTTATTTCGACTAGGTCGAAAGACGAGTGAATAACTTGAGAAGAATGGATTGATTAAATTGTCCAAAGTCTGCGACAAGTCCTGTGGGGGTGACATAAAAGTACATAATTTATACTATTTTTAATGAATTTTCTTGTAACAATATTGTTGATAATATGAAACATAAATTGTATGCCTAAGAGTGATATCAGTTCTCAGTGTGAAATGTTTAACTCTGAGAACAAACAAGAATGAAAATTAGCAGTTGAATGTAATCGGGCGAATAATGAGCATAAAAATTGATGAAAGGTTAGACAGTTCGAAATCTGTAAAATGAGATGAAGAAAATTGTGTAGTATCATTATTCGTTACTGGTGAATAAATTAAATGAAATAACTAGTCGACAGGACTTGAGAAGTATTAAAATACTATATAAACATTACTTCAGTTATCCCCCAATGATCGGTCAATGCATTCCAATCCTACAGGAGGTGGTAACATTTCAGACTGTGAAGCTTCGTGATGTAGATTCAAATGACATTGTGAGTATCGGTTTCCTCACGATTGTAGATATGCCTAGATCATGAGCACCTTCCTTCTGACTTCAAATAATTATCAAATACCTTAGTATCTTAATAATACTACTGTCAAATAGAATTTTCTGTAAGATTTTCGTGACATCAATTCACTACGATCATAGGAAATGTATTATAGGGGTTATGAGTACACTGAGATCGCTCACCACTAAATTATATTTATGTGAACATATACTTTTCTCAAGATAACGGACCAATCTAAGTCAAACAACTTATAAGAACCTGGATACCTTTTTAGTCCCTGCATAGATCACCTCAGCGATGGACACCCACTGTTGAGAATCCAACGCAAAACCACGGACGCTTAACATCCAGACCACCGAACTGGACACTGGTGGTATACATCTCTAACTTTGATCAATCCGTGATATTATGTGAACACCCCCTATTTTTTGGTAAGGCACTCCCACTTCTAACACAGGTAAATTGCATTGCTTTTCACCAAAACTCTGAGGATTTCCCCTCGAGGCTAGTCATCAATGATCACATGATCATCATCAGTATCGGGGTTCTGGAGATTTTTGAATATCTTTGAAGTCACCATCCGATCTAAATTAGATAATAGCTATGGAAGACCTCTCAATAATATTACACTATACTTAAATAATATCGATTTAGACTAGCCTGTTTGCTGCTACGCCAAAGTGAACATCGGAGAAGTGATTTAAAGTCATTTATTTTGATATCGAAACTGTCAATAACTCACATTATTGAATTTTGTTGCTTACCCTTTTCGAATATCATTTACAACATTAATAAACTTCTGTTGTATTGATTTAGAATTATCTTTAGAGATTGTCTTCATAGGTCATCCCATTTTGAATCTGATTATTCATTATGTAGAGTAGGTTGCGTGGAAATTGTTCAATTCTTACTTCTTGTATTACGGATTGATATCAACCTGACAATCAACTATTGTAATGTTTATTTTAATCAATACATTAAACCTACTCAGTAATATTTGTCAAAAATTTGATACATTGAATCATCTATCCTCGGAACACTCACTTCTTTTATAATAAAACAACCAAGTTTAAATTAACAAGAAATGAATTTATTGTACAATTCCGCTATGTTTTGTCAATTAATTTT